TCTGCATTATTTGCTCCGTATTTCCGTAACTGCTAGACCTGCCTTTGCCAAAACTAATCAGCACAATTCACTATCAATAGGAATCGAATGTTTTTTTAACATCAAATCGGTTGACTCGTGCGCCCGAAAACGTGGACGAAAAATGGGCGGACTTACAAACACACTACAACACACACACATCCATTTTTTCTGAGGTTGCAGTAAGAAATTCAGAAACCTTCAAAACGTCGAGAATGCAAAAATTTTCACTTTTGATTTTTGCCCATTACTATAATTAAACCCTATGGGAAGTTAAAAATAAATACACGTTACATCTTAATCTTCTGGACTCTTCCCTCCCCACGTGATTAATAGACGCCCCTTAAACACTAAAAACATCAAAAAGGGCAAAATTTGTTTTAATTTCACCCCCCTATGGCTGTAGGAGTGCTAAGAATTCTCCAATCGGTGTCGAATTTGATATCGAAATATACGGGCCAACTACTGCGTCTCTAAAAACAAAATCTTTACCATTAACATCCATCAATAGCTCCCGGACCATCTTTCACCTTGGTCAATATTAATTACTAGAAACTTCCAATGCTTTTTGCCTAATTAAACTAAACAAACTAGTCTTTTCCTAATTCTGCGCCTGAATGTTTGTCGTTTACGTATGTGTGTCTGTTTCTTTGCGCCCCTCGACCATCTCCTCTTACCAAGGACTCGAGCGGATCCTCCACCGAGGACGCGAACCGGCAGCAGCAGTCGCCGCCGCAGCACCATCTCCGCAGCAGCCGCCTGCCCGCGCCGACATCCATCAGCGGCGGCGGCCACCCAGCGAATGAGCGGAGGAAACAACGGCTCCTCCTCCTCCAACTACATGCGCCTCTATGCAGGCGACTGCTGCAATGTCACTACGACGAAGGCGTCGGACTTGGAGGACGTCGAAGGCGGCGAGGAGGATGACGACGATTTCGATGATGGCGACGACGCAGGGCCTGATGAAGGGGATGATGATGGGCTCGATGATGAGGATTTGGAGGAAGCGGATGAGGACGAGTTGCAGGCGGGAGCTGCCGCTGGTGGGCACCACCATCAGGGCTTGGTGGAGCTGGACGGAGCAACGCTATCCCCACTGCGGTGGGAATGATAATAGATGTTGTATATTAGTTATGTTGTGTGTGATAGTATATATATATATGTATATATAATATATATATATTTTTATTAGGGTGGTCCTTAATATGGATGTTCTCGAATTTTCTTGCTCCCAGGGCTCAAATGTATAAATGTGACATTAGTAAAATGAAAAATAATATGCCTACTGTAAGACTGTTAGAACAAAATGCTCTAATAAATATGACAACTTTTTTGTAAGACTTACTAATAGCTAAATCTTCACAATATGATGAAATGAGAAAAAGTTAATAAAATCAAAGAAAATCCCCAGGTTGAATGCTGTGTTAAAGGAATTAAAAATGTTGAAAATAAAAAAAATGCATTTGATTCCCTCGGGAGCAAAAACAAATTCGAAAATATCCATATTAAGGACCACCTGATATATATTATATATTTAGGGTGGTCCTTAATATGGACATTTTTAAATTTCCATATTAAGGACCACCCTAATATATATTTATATATATTAGGGTGGTCCTTAATATGGACATTTTTAAATTTCCATATTAAGGACCACCCTAATATATATTTATATATATTAGGGTGGTCCTTAATATGGACATATTTGAATTTCCTTGCTCCCAAGGGCTCAAATGGTTCCAGATTGATTTGGAACTTTGGCATTGATTGAAAACAATCCTCTGAAGTTCTTAGCTCTTAGAGGGCAATTCAATCAAACTTTGTATGGAAATATCATGGAAAAATTCTTAAAAATTAAAAAAAACAATTTTTTAGGTATAACTTAGCGACAAATTAATTAAAAGTGAAAATTTTTGTCATTTTTAATTGAAAATTCGACGCTCTGCAAAATTTTTGAAAATTTTTCCATGCTATTTCCATATCTTTAATTGAATTGCACTCTATCTAAAAAACAATATTAAGAGCTAAAACTTTCTAATTATTGTTTTTTATCAATTTAGAACCATTTGAGCCCTTGGGAGCAAGAAAAATCAAAAATGTCCACAATAAGGACCACCCTAATATTTATATATAATTTGGTTATGTTTTCTGTTTGAAGAAAAACTTCCGAGTACTTACACAAAAATTGTTAGATTTATCAAAATCGGAATACATAATTTAAATAATTTTTTCTTCAGAAAACATAATCTCAAAATTACTTGTTATTCAGAGTATACAGAGTATCCCAGAACTTAACGTCAAGCCAAAACGGGGTGATAGCATTGTCCATAACTGCCCTAAAAAAATTAGGAAAAAATTTCTCACGTGGTTTGGAATTTATGAGCTTTTAAGTATAACGTAGAGCTTTTTTTCTGTAAATTATGAGAGATGGATAGTTATAGTGGAAGCATATTCTGATACTTCTTTTACTAAAGTCATCAAACATAAGTAAAATGAAATAATGATTCATCTTGATTTGGTTTAGTTTTGGATTATAAATTCAAAGTCTCATAGAAAAATACTATTTTTTATTATAATAAATCTTGAAATTGTTTACCATCTTTACCTAGTTTAGTTTTGGATTATTAAAATCAAAGTCTGCTAGAAAAATACTATTTTTATTACAATAAAAGTTTAAATTATTTTCTATCTTCTAAAGATCTGTTAATAAGCAGTTTGTAAGATTTATAAGTTTATCATCCCGTTTAGGCTTGCCGTTGAGTTCTGGGACACCCTGTATATATATAAGGACCCATCAGTCTGATAGATGAGCCTTGGATATGTTTGTGTTGTGTTAAGGAACAAAGAGTCCAAAATATTACAAAAAAATACAAAAAATCTTGATGAGAAGATATGAAAACAGAACTAATATTATAAAAATTATAAATGACTGGATTTAAATATATATACCGATATCAAAATAGAAACAAAAGTTTTTTGACAATAAGAAAGTTAAGATATTTCATTCATAGGGTCTTTTTTTTTAGAAAAAAAGGTTTTTTTCAAACAATGTTTTTAAATAAAACTTCGTCGATAACTTAGTATCAATCAAAATTAATAATGTTTTTTTTACTATTTTGGATTTTTTTCAAAGCTCAACACAACATATATATTTATCTATATTTAAACACCAAAGATAAACAATCATTAGCAATTTTTTGCAAATATCTCAGACTTTCTCTTAAATAATAAATTTGTGCGTTAAATTAGTTAAATTCATGTCAATTTTTTTAAGGCACAACCTTTGCATTTAGCAATTTTCTTAAAAAACATTCTTGGAAATAAATATTGAATTTAATAATAAACATATTTGTAGTTTATCTTTGGATCACAAAAAGAGGATATATTTGTTTGTAAAATAAATACATATAATGCTTTTGCTATATTGACATCGTACATGAGAGAATAATATTTTTTCTTCTTAATATATTTTTTTTATCAGGCCTTTTACATCATTTTTTTAATATTGTTTTTAAAACTTGTAGAAGACTGTTAAAACTGTAATTTTTTTTTATAAATTTCATATATGTAGTTTGTTACAATTTTTTTACATCCTGATTTGTTTTCAAACCCACAACAAATATAATAAAATACTTTTTTGTTAGAAAATACTCCTTGTTAGTCAATTTTAATTTTAAATTTAATTTTTGACCATTTATTTATTCATTTTTATTATTATCTTATTATCAGACGTTTATAATTATTATGTGAAATAGTTCATAAAGTACATTTTGTGAAATCTAAAATGCAGTATTGTATTATTTATTCTTTATAAATTACAGATAATATTGCATTTTTTCATAATGTTTCCAATTTTCTGAAATATTTTGTACTTAATTCGGGAACTAATTTTTACTGTGTCTACAAAAAAAATTGTACAAAAAATGTGAAAAGAAATTTTGCACTTTTCAAAAACTTTCTACACCTTGCACATGGCTTTGTTTGTAAATAGTTTTTCAGTTACTTTATTCCCCAAAATTTCATCATAAGTCTTTTATCTACATTTTTACATTTTCTGCATGCATTATTTAATTATGCATACTTTATTGATTTCAACATATACATAAGAAAGTACATAAATTGGTCGATTTTACTCATGTGCGATGTCAAAGCTTCTCGGAACATGAACTTGATGTGTTGTGTAAAATATTATTGTACAGAAACAGAATTTTAATTCTTAAAAAATCATTTGGTAATAATAATCGAATGATTTTAAGTCTAAACTATTGTGAAAATTAGGTTTAATCATTGTACATATAGAAATAGTTGATCCTGAATCCTTATTGTCCTGAAATTATTTCACCAAATTCCTATTAAAAAGTACACTGTGCGTTTTGTGGTAAACAGAGACTAAGGTAATATATTTTAAAATGACTGTTATTTAGTTTATTATTCATTATAAAAGTAGTTTTACTTTACTAAAAAAAGTGTTTAATATTTTTGACAATTTTTTGCTGAAGTCTCATTTACTCCAGAACGTACATGCATTTTATTTCTATTCTATTTACTGTACATACATTTTATTTCTATTTATTTTCTAGCACTGTTGTATCAAATTTTATTTTTCAAATTTTTTTCAGCACATTTTTAATTTGATTTCAGCATATCATAATTTGTTTTTTTTTTAAATTTTTTTAGCACCTTTCCTTTTAGTGTGCTTGTGTGTGAGGATGCACTGCTATTTTGGCTTTTTAAATTAAATTTTGACTTCAATTTTGCTTTTTCAGCTTAGAAAATTTATATCCAAAAATTTGCACAATTTGATGTTTCTTTTAATTTTATTTAATTGGTGTTTTGTCTTTGGATTATTATTTATACAGGGTAGTTTGTAAAAATTATAAGTGTCTTATAGGTGTCATTAGATACATGTATATATGTGAAATTATTTTTCAAAATATTGAATTTTGGATTGAAAATAATATTTTTTTCAAATTGTTTTGCAGAATCCTACACGACAGAGCATACCAGTTCCTAATAAAGGTAAGATTTATATTTTATTTACACAAATTTATATATGTATATTAGGCTGGTCCTTAATATGGATGTTTTCGAATTTCCTTGCTCCTAGGGGCACAAATTTAATCGATGAAATATTTTGATCATAAATAAAAAAATACTAAAAAAAATGATAAAATAAGTATTTACTTACGAATAAGAACCAAGAAACTTTAGTTGAGTGCGGACTATCTTAAAGTTAATATTAAGAGCTAAACTTTCAGAGGTTTTTATTTTATCAATTTGGAAGCATTTGAGGCCCTGGGAGCAAATAAATTCGGAAACATCCATATTAAGGACCACCCTTATATATATGTATATCAATATTTAACTTTATTGTCCCATATTTTGTTAATTACCCCAAAGTCAACGACCTTTTTGTCAACTTTGTCCAGGAGGGAAATTCCCTTTCCACCTTCGACGCAACACGTATAATTTACCTACAAGTTTATTTTTCGATTACACATTTTTTGTCGGTCTAATCTAATATCGAAAACGTAATGTACATGTTGAAATAAGTTCCTGGAATTGTTTCGACTTTGGCTGTCGATAACCGATTAATGGTTTATTTTGTGCCTTTGCCTGCCCTCGCACTTTCAGGTGTAATAAGGGATGAACAGGGCGGAATTGGAGAAAAAAATAGTAGACTTTTATATGTTTGGAGCCCCAATTTGACTCCACTAGTCAATTATATAAAAAATAACAGGAATCATTATACTAAGTAATAATAATAAAAAATAGTAGCCTGCCCGAAGGCATGTCCATGGTAGGAGAGCACCACAAAATCAATCAATTTTTTTTCTCCTTGTTTATTATTCCTATTAGTGTTTTATTGCCATTAATTAATGACTATTAATCACTTTATTATACTAAATATTAAAATTTTATAAAATGATCAACAAATTTATTATGAAATGGAGCATTATGATTCAGCAAAATGTTTATACTAAAGAATTTATCACATATTTTAGTTAATACAGATTCATTATATTTTGCAGTACTAAATATACTGTAGATTTTTCACAGTAAAACAAAAATCAACTTTAATATAAAATTAACACTGTAGGGACGGCACCGATTTCAAAACAATCTACTGTACCGGCTGTAAATTTGATTTCATTGTGTATGTTATGCAATTTGTTTGATAAAAATTTGTGGTTATTGAAGGACATACATTTATAATATTAATTTATTTTTGATCATTTTATAAAAGATGGTGACGTTTCCAAAATCCATTCCATTTCCAAAATGCATCGCTGGTTGATTTTGACATGTTTTACAATAAAATGTTGTTCGCCGCCTTCGTCCTAGTGCTTTTCTGTCAGAACAGACAATACAATCCCTTTTTCTTTTGAAGAATTCAGAATTTGCCACTGATTAGTCAGTATATTTGGTTATTTTTTTGCTGCCATAATGGTTTGTCTTTTCTATTATATTGTCTAATAATTCATTTGTAAAATATAAAGTAAAATAATCTATTGGATATCTTATGTTGCTTGGTATTTGTAGTCGGGGTGTTTGTTGATGTATGTCAAACTAATGTCTTTCAACTCTTCATTTAATTTGTCAAACTTCTACTTCTTTTTGTTGGTTGGATAATATCATCATCACATTCATCACTATCTTCGGTGCAAATAGTAATTTCGTAAAATTTGTCTGTATGAATGTATATTTGAAACTCATCTTCACTACTGCTTAATTCACAAAATTTACCAGTCGTTTTGCCATATTTAAAACCGCTCGATCGTTTCAAATATTTAAAAAAGGATTATATAGCAAAGAAAAAGGCTAAAATTACTTTATTATGTAACTTTTTTCCCAAAAATCATTTATTTCTTGATTACATCCCCGTTCGATGCACATGGGTATTGACTTCTTCATACGTACAATGTGTGGTCGTTACTTTTAGTCACCTTTTGCGCCCCAAATGACTAACATCGGATTTGAAATAGATTCAGGAACTATTTATAATAAAAAGTGGACGTCTGATGTATCAGATAACAAAAAAAAATTTTTAAATTACAAAATTCATGTATTTTAATAAAAGTCTGTTAACAAAATGTGCTGTGTACATGTGTGCTGTTGTCTTCGATATGCACTTTTCCAAAAACAGAACAAAATATTGGATGTTCCTGCAACTCCTGTCTTCACCTTAGATAACGGTTATAATTATATTAACAATTGTTATTTTAATATTTATCACAAATTAATTTGTGAATTTATTAATATATTATGAAGTCTAGAATTAAAAATTTACTTAATTATTTATTAATATAAAAAAATGTCATATTTTTCTGGACTTGGTTATGACTACAAATGTTGACGAAAACAATTAAGGAGTAATGTCAATGTAATATATTTGGATCATTTTACTAGTCACGTCTTAATTTTTTTCTGGAAGTTATTTATAATTAAATAAATAAAAAATATAATTAGGTAATTTATAAAATAGAAATAAAATTTAGATCTGTGACATGTGTATTTATAGGTACCTCGACTGAAATAAAAAAAATAAAATAAATATAATTAAATTTATATTTTAATAATTATTTATATTTCGATTATCTTTTTCAGGTAATGCTATAAAGCGCGAGACCCACCGGGCTCGGCCGACGAACATTATGCCGCCGCCCTCGAGCAACGGCTTGGGGGCGGGCAGCAAGACTGGAGCAGGAGGCGCAGGCGGTGGCCCCCTTTCGCACAACAACCACCATGCGAACAACGTGCAGAACTCGAAGCAGGCCGAGCTGGAGCAGCTCAGCGAGAACATGCCGCCTCCTCATCATAATAGACAGGTGATGATCGAAATTAATAGATACTGATATTTTGTTTCACCTTACAGTGGTATCTCTACATAGGAGTAACGCTTTTATATTGACTTGCTCGTATCTCGAAGCATTTTCTTATGTAAATGCATAGAAATGCCATTAATTCGTACATGCAGTGTGGTGTTTTCGTTAAGTTTATTGAATATTAAATATAAATTCACTATACATAATTAATTGATAATATGGAAATGAGTTAGATTCAGAAATCTGCTTATAAAATAATTATTACAAGGCCCTTTAAGGAGCCATATCCTTTATTAACTTGTTAAAATATACCTCAATATATTCACGTGGATAAATCAATTAATATTAATATATAATTAATAATTAAAATGACAAACTCTAAAATAATTAACTATCACAAAAATATTTCTACGGTAGAAAAATCACTGCTACAAATGACAAAATTTTTTATATCGTCACTTTGGCATTAACATTTTTCTAGGAAACTTTTACTCGCCTAAAGCTCGTATCTCGAATTTTGCTCGTATGACGAAGCAACGAGTCGCTCCTCTGAGCCTGGTTGGCACTGTATATAATTTTTTAATTTTAATGATTTGAGTTTTTGATAATCGACTTGGTAAAATAATGCTTTTAATTATATTGTTTTTTTAATTTTGTGTTTCATTTAATATGTTCAATTATATACACTTTTAAAAGTGCAATCAACTGTACTTCATTAATTTGAGCTTTGCAATTTTTTGTGTAATTTTACATATTCTCATATATATTTATAATTATATTTATATTATTTTTATATTTATAATATATAATTTTTTCATACATATTTTTCTCTAAATATTTATCTAAAGTTTACCATTACAATTTGCTTTTTTTTAAATATGGCATAAACTAAATTTTAATATTAATGGTAGCTCATTATTATTGCAAACTTACGCTGTAAATTTAGTATTTATTAAATTTGATAATCGACTTGGTAAAATAATATTTTTAATCATATTGTTTTTTTTTTAATTTTATATTTTATTTAATATGTTCAATTACATAGAATTTTAAAAGTGCAATCAACTGTACTACATTAATTTAGTTTATTTAGTAATTTCACACATTCTCATATAATTTTCTCATACATATTTTTCTCTAAATAGTTGACCCTTACAATTTGCTAATTTTTATTTAAATATGGCATTGGTTTAAACTTTATTCCAATATAAATTGTAGTTCATTATTATTGCAAACTCCTTATGCTGTAAATTCAGTATTTTATTTAATTCAATACAAAAATAACCAAAACTGATTAAATAAATTTTATTTTCAGTTGCCTGCTCGAAGTCAAACTTCTTCAAACGTGCCACAACAAATCGCCAACAACATTGGAGGTAATTTAATATTATTTGACTATTTAATAAATATTTATATTATAATATTGAAGTTTCGACTATCATTTTTCTCGCATATTACACCATTTTATGTCGTCTTGACGGGGTGTTACTGTTTTTATGCAAGATTTTTATTTAGTAAAAAAAGTAATAAAACATTATCATTGCCTTTTCATATTATTACATTTGGCATTACGTGGCAAATAACAATGTCTTTTCAATTTCTTTTTTTCTCATGATTTAAGCGCCATTTTTCAAATCTATATCAATTTATTTTTGACCAGGATTCGACCTAAAGACCCTTGTATCTGCGAGTAACCGTTTTGGCAACGTTCGTCGGATTTTCATCTTAAATTTTCATTATTTTTAAATATGTCATATACTTTTTCCCCCAGGATCTAGTAATGCCTCAAGAAGATCAAATGTGGTAAAAGAAGTAGAAAAGTTGAAGGAAAACCGTGAAAAGAGGCGCCAAAGGCAAGCCGAACTTAAAGAAGAAAAGGAGGCGCTTATGAACATGGATCCAGGAAATCCCAACTGGGAATTCAGTGCGATGATAAAGTAAGCAAATATATATCATACTCGATTAATCAATATTATTATTTATTTTTCTCTTTAGACATTACCAAAACACGATAGCATTCAGGCCCTTGAGGGACTCTGATCCAGTCGAAGACCACCAGATCACAGTTTGTGTTCGAAAGAGGCCCCTCAATAGAAAGGAGACGAATAAGAAGGAAATAGATGTGATAAGGTGATTGAAATTAATACTTTTGATATATTGTCAATGGAATAACAATGTTTTTTTATTTAGTGTGCCTAGTAAAGATCAGATGATTGTGCATGAAACCCAAAAGCAAAGTCGACTTGACGAAATTTCTTGAAAATCAACACTTTCGATTCGATTATGCATTCGACGAGTCTTGCAGCAATGAAATTGTATACAAGTAAGAAAGAAATTGATATTCAAAATCTAACGATATCAATAATAAACAAAATATTATTTTGTAGATACACCGCAAAGCCTTTAGTTAAAACAATATTCGAAGAATGGTGGTGGTATGGCCACTGTTTGCTTAGGACAAACCGGATCAGGTAAATGTTGTAAAATAACATTTATCACAAATTCTAAGTAAAATAATTTTTTATTCTTTCTATTACAGGAAAGACTCACACGATGGGTGGTGATTTCAATGGTCGTACCCAGGACTGCAAAAAAGGTATCTATGCGATGGCAGCTAAGGATGTCTTTAAGACTCTCAGATCGCCCAAATATAGACCCCTTGGTTTAATTGTCAGTGCCTCGTTCTTTGAGATATACAGTGGTAAAGTTTTTGATTTGCTCAACGACAAGGCAAAGTTACGAGTGCTGGAAGATGGAAAACAACAGGTAATAGTAATAGACTCACTGATAAATGGTTGTTGCTACAATCAAACTCATGTTTTTTTATCTAGGTTCAAATTGTTGGTTTGACCGAAAAGATTGTTGAAGATTGCGATGAAGTATTGAAGTTGATTCAGCACGGGAAACAATGCCAGGACATCAGGACAGACCTCAGCAAACACAAACTCATCCAGGTCGCATGCAGTATTCCAGATCATTGTGAGGTCGCCTGGTTTGAATCGAATCCACGGCAAATTTTCATTGATTGATTTGGCTGGTAACGAACGAGGTGCTGACACTTCTTCTGCAAACCGACAAACTAGAATGGAAGGTGCAGAGATTAACAAGTCTTTGTTGGCACTCAAAGAGTGCATCCGGTGAGTAAAATTATAGATAACCTATTGTTCCTATTTATTTTTTAACTTCCCGTAGGGCAAGTTATAGTAATCGCAAAAAAATGGAAAATGAAAATTTTTGCATTTCTCGACGTTTCAAAGGTTTCTGAATATTTTGGCATAACTTATAAAAACGTATGTGTTTGTGTGTGCGTGTATGTGTGTGTGTGCGGATACAAATTTTCGTCGACGATTTCGGGAACATGGATGAAGCGATTTGAATAATTCAAAAAACATTAGATTCGTATTGATAAGGAGACGTGCTGATTAGTTTTTGGCGAAGGCAGGTCTAGCCGTTCCGAAGATATGGGGCAAAAAGTGCCAAAAACGGTAACTCAGTTTTTAAGAGAACGGAGCGTCCTATTTGAATAATTCGAAAAACATTTTACTTGTATTAACAAGATGAAGAACTGGTCAAATTTTTATGAAGGCAGGTCTAGCGGTTTTGGAGATCCAGTAAAAAAAAGTAAAAAAAAACCCATTTGGTGGTAAAAAAATCGTACCAATGTTTATCCGTTAGACGGCGACAAAAGTTCAGAATTTCCAAAACATTTCAAAATAAATTTTTCTTGAAAAAGTCTTTTTTTTCAAAAAAAAAAGTAAGTTTTTGTCAAAAATTTATAGTTTCTCAAAAATCTAATTTTTTCAGAGTAAATTTTTTTCAAAATGTTAATCTTTAAAAAAAAATCATTTTTGGTACGGGAAGTTCCAGCAATTTGCCTTAAGGCACGATGCCATGCGCCCCACTAGTTTTTTTTTTAATTACAATATTTATTACAACTGTTAAATAATTTAACATCTAGTAATAATAATAAACAATAAAAAACATAAATTTAAATAAATAAGAGTACAAAGGATAGAATTTACATTAAAATGATATTCGTAGTATGATGATTTGATATAAAATAAAAGCAACCTAGTGGTGTATGACATCGTGCCATAAGGCAAATTGCTGGAACTTCCCGTACCGTAATGAAATATTCGAGAAATTTTAAACGTTTTCAAATATATTATTACAAATACCGTAACTTTCATTATTTTTTTTGCTATCTTGTTATATCTGAGCAAATCAAATGTAAATCATTTAATGAATCAAATTATCTCCAGAGCATTAACAATCGTCATTTCATTTCGAATTCAATTTCAAAAAAAAAGTAGTTACCAATAGTCACAGTCTAAACGCATTTGCAAATAATTCTGTGCGACATTTTCACTTATACTGTGCTTGGCTTGGCGGCATTTTCACATTTTTTGCCCACCGAAAACGTGGACCAAAAAATGCTGACATACAAAACACACACACACACACATCATTTTTTTCTGAGGTATGCCAGTAAAATGTTCAGAAACCTTCAAGATGCCGAGAAATGCAAAAATTTTCATATTCGATTTTTAGCCCATTACTATTACTACCCTACGGGAAGTTAATAATAATAAAAATAAAATTAATAAATAAAAAGTGGAATTAAAACAATATTATCCATTTATTATCTAATTGATGATGCTATTGTCCATTCAGAGCCTTGGGCAAACGGGGGGCCCATCTGCCTTTCCGGGCGAGTAAGCTCACACAAGTGCTGAGAGACTCCTTCATCGGAGACAAATCAAGGACTTGCATGATTGCTATGATCTCTCCGGGAATGAGTTCCTGCGAGCACTCACTGAATACTTTGAGGTATGCTGATCGAGTGAAGGAACTTGCTGCCTCGGATCCAACTGGCATGTCTAGAAACTCACCCACTAATAATAAAAAGGTAATAAGATGAATTATCTACGGTAACAATTAGTGCAGTAAACGGGGAGGAAAAAAGGTTATAAACTCTGAATTTTTTTTACTGTGCTCTGAATTGCATGAAATTTTGGAATTAGGTTCATCTTCACCTCAAGTTCAAAAGTGAAAACAATTCGGGGTTCCGCCACCACCCCCTTGAGACCTTGCGACCCTTAATAAATAAATGGACATTGAGCCGTTTTATCGCTAGTAAACGTTTTTATTATTATAGGATATAATTAAAAAATATGTTTAATACATTTACCTTGCAATAAAATCATTTTCAACCCCGTGAAAACCCTAAAACTCTTCAAACAACCTCTAAATTAAAAAAAAAAAACACTTAAAATTAAATTTCGGTATGATATAATAAGAATTACATATCAAGTAAATAATATTTTATGTTTTCTATCCTGATTATCAAATGTTTAACCTTTTTAGACCTTGAAAACAACTCTTGATGAAAAATTGTTCGAAAAATTATTTTGAAATTGAAAGATAATTAAGAAATTCAAAATGATATGAATGGTATTCAAATTTTTCAAAAATAATTACCATATCCACTCTTAAAACTACTCTAAATTTACGTTTTATTATAAATACACATAAGATATATATATATATATATATATATATATATATATTTCAGAGTAACTAGCAGCCATTCGTCGAAATAAAAAAGGTATAAAGTATAAAAACTTTTATTTATACGTTTCGACACAAGATGCGTGTCATCATTCAGCAACTACAATATTGAAAATTTTATTAACTAATATAAAACAACAATATAGATTAATTATATATATATATATAATTATATATAAATATATATATATATATATATATATATATACACGTATATATATATATATATATATATATATATATATATAGATATATACAGTAGAGCCTCGATTAACCGGACTAATTGTTATCGATGGGCATTCGGATAATCGAATGTATGAAGAATAATGTTGTGTATTCATTAAAAATAACAATTACATACATAGATATCAACGACAATCAATGTTTATTAAGAAATTAATACTTCCTTATGCATGTACGTATATAATCGAGGTTCTACTGTATAATATAAGTCAATAGTTTTGGGCACCAAATACTGCTTACTGACACATTGCTCGAAATATGGACACAATTCGACCAAATGCGATTAGTTTTCAGGTCATAACTCCTTTAATTTCGACTCCATCACAATTTGTAATATACAATTGGAAAGGTTAATAAAAGGGCTACAACTTGTTTCATCATAATTTTTTTTTCGTAACTCCTCTAATGTTGAAACAGCGAACGGTTAAAGGGCTCGAGAGAGACTCTGATTGCGCAGCCGCGCACCTTTAAACAATCATAACTCTATCAATTTTTATGTGAAAGAAAAATAATAAAAAACAATAATAAGCCAGAAAGATCCCTTTGATTTTATCTATATGCTTTTATACGTATCTTTTATTCTTTTTGAGATATATTGAAAATAAGTTCGATTTTTTAAAAATCGGAAAAAAAAGGTTTTATAAAATCGTGAGTTTTCTGAAAAGTTTCTACTAAAGTAGTGAATCTGCTAGAATCCATCAAGATGTTTATAATAAAGTGAATTACAGATGGAATGGAATTACTTTAATTCTGGTGGAAATGTCGCTCATTAAACCATATGATTTAAAAGAAAAAAATATCGTATATGCTTCTTATTTGAATTATAGCTCACTCATTTTACACGCAAAAAACTTGTAACAGCACTCATTTTAAAGCTTATGTTGAGAACTATAAAACACAATTTCACCGAAACGCATAAAATGTAAATCCTCGGGGGTGATGGCGAAACCCGAATTGTTTTTACTTGAGGGTAACATGAACCTAATTCCAAAATTCATGTAATTCGGAGCACAGTAAAAAAATTCAGATCCAAAACAAACCGTTTACTGCACTAAATGTGTTGTTGTGTTGCGAGAATTTTGAATTGAAAAATTGTCTGTTTTTAGGTAAAGGATCACGCATGGCAATTGATGGTGAAGATGAAGAGCTAATGGCGATGAAGGTAAGAACTTATAATTAATGCTAAATTATAAATGCATATTTTCAGTATTTGATTTATTTTTTATTGTGCAGGTAATGATGCTATGGAGGACGACCAGCTTCGAGATGAAGACTATGCGTTGATGATGAATCAAGGTGGATCAAGCGATTGGCTCAATTGCGTTCATTAAATGTGAGTTGGTTTAACCAAATATATGATCCATATTATTTATTTGGTGCATATATATTGAAGTATCATAAATTATTTACCAGGAAGGTGATATGTCAGCCGATATGCTTTCATTCCATGAAGCAGTTGCTGGAGTGCAGAGAGCCGAAGAGGAGTTGCTCGATGACCATCGTGCTCTGAATGAACGTCTGCTCGAGTTCCATGCACTCAGTGCTGATCTGTATGCTGTTGCCAACAGGGACGTGGACTACGACCAAGATGGTAAGTGACTTTAAAAACATTAGTATAATAGATAAAAACAATCTGTATAATAAATTCAGTTGAAACGTCGATGTTGTCTTAGCGATATACGTGGTCTGTTCAAAAAGTACCCGGAATTTTCGTATATAAAT